CCCCCCCCCGCGCTTGGCTAACTGCAGGGAAGGATTTCTTTTCAGCCACAGGCAAACAGCCCAGTAGGAATGGCCACCTCTGTCCCCTTAATTAAATTCCCGTATTTCAACCATGTTACCATGAGCGATATCACTCTCCTGAGGATTACACAGCGAGATAAAGAACGGATGTTGCTGGAATGCCAGCAAACACCGGGACCATATGCTGCCAGGCTTTGTCATGCAATGATACCAGATTACTTGCTACTAGCATGGCGTAGTCAAGTGTCCTACCATGGAGGACGAAATAAGGCTGCACTGCCCAGAAACCTTCTGCAAAGGCTTCTGGAGTACCTCCAGGAGAGCTTCATGGAGATGTCCCTGGAGGATTTCCACTCCATCCCCAGACACGTTAACAGACTTTTCCAGTAGCTGTACTGGCCGCGAATGCATCCCAAGTCCTCAGGGCAAATTAATCATTAAAAAAACGCTTGCTTTTAAACCATTTTATATTTTAAAAGGTAAACTCACCTGAGGTCCCTTCCATGGGGTCATGGTCTTGGGTATAGGGTTGGGAGGGTACTTCAGTCAGGCTGAGAAAAAGATCCCGGCTGTTGGGGAGAACGGAGTGCTGTGTGCTCTCCGCAAGCTCGTCCTCCTCCTCTTCCCCGTCCGCAGAATCCTCAGGTGTAGCTGATGAGATTATCCCCGCCTCGGAATCCACGGTCAGAGGTGGGGTAGTGGTGGCGACCCCCCCCCCCCTAGAATTGCATGCAGCTCAGCGTAGAAGCGGCATGTCTGCGGCTCTGACCCGGAGCGACCGTTTGCCTCCTTTGTTTTCTGATACGCTTGTCTGAGCTCCTTGACTTTCATGCGGCACTGCTCTGAGTCCCTATTGTGGCCTCTCTCCATCATGCCCTTGGAGATTTTTTTCAAAAGTTTTGGCATTTCGTCTTTTCGAACGAAGTTCTGCTAGCACTGAATCCTCTCCCCATATAGCGATCAGATCCAGTACCTCCTGTACGGTCCATGCTGGTGCTCTTTTTCGATTATCGGCCTGCATAGTTATCTGTGCTGATGAGCTCTCTGTGGTCACTTGTGCTCTCCCGTGCTGGGCAAACAGGAAATGAAATTCAAATGTTCGCGGGGCTTTTCCTGTCTACCTAGCCAGTGCATCCGAGTTCAGATTGCTGTCCAGAGTGGTCACAATGGTGCACTGTGGGATAGCTCCCAGAGGCCAATACCATCGAATTGCGGCCACACTAACCCTAATTCGAAATGACAATATCGATTTTGGCGCTACTCAGCTCGTCGGGGAGGAGTACAGAAATCGATTTTAAGAGCCCTTTATTTCAAAATAAATGGCTTCATTGTGTGGACGGGTGCAGGGTTAATTCGATTTAACGCTGCTAAATTCGAATTAAACTCATAGTGTAGACCAGGCCTAAGAAGTTGAAGCATTAAGGTAGACTTCTCCCTTCTGAAGAGGAAAAAGGGGGTACTCTGGAAACAGCCTGCAGTGTCTGTACAGCCATTTAGGGATGCTTCCAGGGTAACAGAAGCATTTGAGAAAAGTTAATAAGAGGCCTAGTAAACTTAGATATTAACTGTTGCCAAGAATTATTTGATCGATATGTTCTTGTCACCCTAAAGACAGCAAATTCCCAATTCAGCTTCTGGATCTCAGGAACTGGCCTTGACAAGTTTCATTCACCTAGCCTTTCACCACCCCTACCTCCACCGAGGTGAAACACAAGCCATTAAAATGTAACAAACTATCAAATTAAATTATGGAATCTTAAGTAGGGAGTGGAGATGGGGAAACAAAACAATGTAAGTAGCAAAAACATTAGCTTTCCAAATCAAACTTACCCATTATATAGCAGTTTGGGGTGGTTGTCCACTAAATATTTAGTAAAATGGCCAAATGGTCCCAGATTCTCGTAGGGTATTGTTGAAGGTAAAAAGACTGCCCACTAAGAGAAACATACACTTTAGTGAAAAAACACACCCCTGAGCGCAGCAAGTTTCCGCGCTGTAAAGCGCCAGTGTAGATAGTGCCCTAGCGCTGGGAGCCGCGCTGGTATCTATGCCCCTCATGGAGGTGGGTTTTTTTAGAGCGCTGGTAGAGCTTTCTCCCAGCGCTCTGCCGTGACTACACAAGCCACGTTAAAGCACTGCCATGGCAGCGCTTTAACGTTGCAAGTGTAGACTAGCCCTTTGCTGAATCTGCCAACAAAAGTCCAAAACATAATGGTACCTGCGGTTGTCTCAATGAAACTCAACCCACCAACACTTTTTTCATGCAATTTACTGATTGGCCAAGTGTAACTTTTGGTCACTACGCACATTAAGAAGTGGTTTTTACCAATACACACTTCTGCCTCAACTTCCACTATGTTGCAATTCTAAAGTATTGGAAACCTGTCTCCCCTTCTGCCTATTCAAAATTTGCATTACGAGTGCAAAGTTTCACTTTCTCCTATATTTAAAGATGTGTAGTCCATCTTCAAACTCCCTGTTGGATCCCCACTCACTTCAGAATTCAGTTAAATTGTCCTTATTTTAAAAAGCTTTGATGGACATGCTCCTCCTTAGTGCACAAGCTGTGTCTTTCATTCCTCAGTTAGAATGGACCTCTTTTTCTGTACAAAATCTAGCCACAGTTGCCTCTGTCTGCAATTTTATTTTATTTTTAATTCCAACTGTTGGTAATACTGGTTCAGCTCTCCCACTATTAGAACTGGACAGAAGGCTACTGTACACAAGCCTCCCAAGGTCACCGGTGTTTGACACTGTGCCAATTTAATGTACTCTAAGCATGTTTAACTCTCATGGTAGCAGGAGCTGTGTGCGCACAAGAAGAGTGCAGTGCTAGTATCAGGGGAAGATGCTCTGCTCTTTGCAAGAGTGGGATTTTTTTTATAGATATACAAAAATCCCTACTCTAGACAAGCCTTATGTAGGAAATGTACCTGAATGGCAGATCTATAGTATCGTTACCAACTTCAGCATCTCCTGGCAAAGTTTGTTTCTGCTGTCAACTCTTGGAGAAGGGGGCGTTATATCCCACTTGCGTAAACAAACCAGGTGGGGTGGGGGGAAATAGCTACCCCTAAAACAACTGCCCTTATTGTGCTGTTTTCATTTTCCTCACCTCATAAATGCAAGAAACCACCTCACTCACTGAACTCCCACAACAATCCCACCCACCCCCCGAGCCCTGACCACCCCTCGGATACACACACCCTGCCCCCAGCATCTTCTAGCCCCCAGCACTTCCCTACCGCCTGCCACACGCACCCTATCCGCTGCCAGCGCCCTCTACCCCCAGCCTCATCCATGCCTCCCCACACCCATTCACCCTAGCCCTGAGCCCCCCAGCGCGGGGCGCCCAGCGACTCACAGCGAAGTAGCCTATGGAGATGGCGATGACGCCCATCCAGAAGCGGCTGGTGCACCTGAAATAGCCGACGGGGTCCCCGGGGGCCGCCGCCATGTTGGCGCTGGCCTCGAGCGCCGCTCACAGCATCGCCCCACGGAGGCGGGGCCGGGCGCCGCCACTGTCGCCCGAGGTGAAGGGGGGAGAAGCGGACTGCACTCGGACCAGACCATTCCCGCCGCGGGGGGAGGAAGTGGGGACGCTCAGGCCTGAGCTCGAACCTCTCTGCTGGGGCAGAAGGGGAAGCGGTCAGAATCCCAGCCCCGTCCATGGAGAAGCTCCGACCCCCTCTGGGTCTGGTGCCGACAGCTCAGCTCTGCTGCGGGGCACGGTTGGCGGGGACGTGCTGGGTGCATTCGAGCTCCCGGGGCTCGTTGGAGGGGGCTACGCTGAGCGCACTGGAGCGCCTCCGAGCTCTCTCGCTAGAGAGTTGCATGCATTGGGGCGCCATGTAGAGCCGCCCCCACAGAGCCGGCTTTAGGCCAATTCCACCAATTCCCCCAAATCGGGCCCCGCGCCTAAGAGGGCCCCGCGCTCAGTGGCAGGGCCACCGGGGGCGGGGGTGAGGGGCAAGTGGCTGAGAATCCCTTCCCTGGCTAGAGGCTCCTTTTTAATTTTTACTCACCTGGCAGTGCTCCGGGTCTTCGGCGGCACTTCGGCGGCAGGTCCTTCAGTGCCGCCGAAGATCCGGAGCGAGTGAAGGACCCACCGCCGAAGACTAGGAGCACCGCCCGGTGAGTACAAGCCCCATGTGTTTTTTTACATGGTTTTTTTCTTAGTCATCCCTGCCGGGGCCCCGTCAAAACTGTTCAAATCGGGCCTCGCGCTTCCTAAAGCCGGCCCTGCGCCCCCATTTCATGTCGGAGGTCTGCTTACTGCACATGCCCTAGCCTCAGATAGATTTTTAAGGGCAGCACAGCTTGAGTGTTGAATGCGATGAGTTCCATGCTGCTGCCAGCTTTAGCCCTTGGGGCAGGGAGTTTGTTTAGAAACAGAGGCATGATGATTAAAGTAACAAAAAGCTTGTATTAAATTAAGGATCCTTAGATGATCCTGAAAGCAGTGTCAGGCACTCCAGTTGAAAGATAGGCAACAAAGGGTAAGACTAGAGGTTAGTTCTTAGAATGCAGCGGCATAAATACTAATTAGTGGTGTCCCCTGGGGCGGGGGGAAGGCGGTCTGTACTGGGACCAGTACTGTTCAACGTGTTCATAAATGATCGGGGGGGGAGGGGGGAGAATAAACAGTATGGTGGCAAAATTTGCAGATGATACAAAATTGTTCAAGGTAGTTAAGTCCACAGCAGACTGTGAAGAGTTACAAAGGGTGCCACAAGTACTCCTGTTCTTAAAGGGACCTCAGAAAACTGGCTGACTGGGCAACAAAATAACAGATGAAATTCAGTGTTGATAAATGCCAAGTAATGCACATGGCAAGATATAATCCCAAGTATATATACAAAATGATGGGGTCTAAATTAGCTTCTACCTGTCAAGAAAGAGATCTTGGAGTTATTCTGGATAGTTCTCTGAAAACATCATCTCACTGTTTAGTGGCAATCAAAAAAGCTAACAATGTTGGGAATCATTAGGAAAAGGATAGATGATAAAACAAAATATCATTGCCTCTATATAAATCCATGGTACGCCCACATCTTGAATACTGCATGCAGATCTTGTCACCCCATCTCTAAAAAAGATATATTAGAATTGGAAAAAGTACAGAGAAGGGCAACAGAAATGACTGGGCTATGGAATAGCTTCAGTATGAAGAGAGATTAATAAAACTGGGATTTTTCAGCTTGGAAAAGACAACTAACGGAGATATGATAAGGTCTATAAAATCATTAATGATGTGGAAAAATTGAATAAGGAAATGTTGTTATTTACTCCTTCACATAACACAAGAACTAGGCATCACCCAATGAAATTAATAGGCAGCAGATTTAAAACCAAAAAAAGAAAGTATTTCTTCACAGTAAACCCATGGAACTCATTGCCAGAGGATGTTTTGAAGGCCAAAACTATAATAGGGTTCAAAAAAGAACTGGATAAGTTAATGGAGGATAGGTCCATCAATGGCTATTAGCTAGGATGGGCAGGGGTGCAACATCATGTTCTGAAGTGTCCCTAGCCTCTGTTTGCCAGAAGCTGAGAGTGGGTGACAGGGAATGAATCACTTGATGATTGCCTGTCTGTCCATTCCCTCTGAAGCACCTGGTATTGGCCACTGTTGGAAGACAGGATACTGGGCTAGATGGACAATTGATCTGACCCAGTATGGCTGTTCTTAAGTTCTTATATATAACCCAGAAGTATCTGACACCCCTCCACACACTGTAAACCACTAGACTCCACTCCCCAGAAGTCCTATTGGGATCTCTCTCTGTCAGAGTTAGTAACAAAGTAAGAATATACATTAAAATTGTAAACCTAACCAGTGTCCCTTAAGTGACTTGCCACAAGATGTCAGAACATGTTAATATTAGAGCTGAGTGGGTCTAATATTTATTTAATTTTCTTTCTTTTATATAGGAATTAGATACAGTGCTCCTGTCACTTAATTATTAAATTATCTGCCAAAAAACTAGAGTTTTCAGGTCCTTACTTGGCCACTGGAATCATGCTTAAAGTTCCCCCCCTCCCCAAATCTGAAATGGTGCCCCAGGTCGGGGCAAGGGTGGGGGTGTCTTAAATCTTTGCTAACAAAGACAGGTTTTCTACAAAGGGCCTGTCTACTTGCATACTGAGACTTGCTCAGGCAGGTGGTTTTTAATGGGGAGGGGTATTCCCTGTGAATCCCACATTGTGCTCCTCCCCTCCATCAACAGCTTCTTGTTGCTGTTCTCTCTCCCCTCTGACATGGGTTCCATGTAGCTCCCTAGGGAAGACCTGTGTCAGCTTGAGCTTTGAGCAGATGCAGCGTGCTGTCATCCTGGCTTCTGGGGTTAGAGCCACATGTCTTCCTGCTAGCTTGGGAATTCAAGAACTAGTGCTGCTGTTAGACCACTGGGCTGGATTTTGCAGGTGATTTTCTGAATAGAAACACAAATCCACTTTTGGGATAATTAATTGTAAAGTGAAAAGAACAGGAGTACTTGTGGCACCTTAGAGACTAATAAATTTATTTGAGCATAAGCTTTCGTGGGCTACAGCCCACTTCATCAGATGCATAGACTGTGCAAGTCACTGAATTTAGCCATATGGAGTGGAAATCCATGTCTATGCATCTGATGAAGTGGGCTGTAGCCCACAAAAGCTTATGCTCAAATAAATTTGTTAGTCTCTAAGGTGCCACAAGTACTCCTGTTCTTTTTGCGGATACAGACTAACATGGCTGCTACTCTGAAACCTGTCACTAATTGTAGAGTGAATCTGATTTGAAGTAGGCATTGTGGCCCAGGGTAATGAGCAAGTAGTTGTAAGCAGATAGCCTGGCTTTCACTCTGGACAAGTCACCTAGGCCCAGATCCATAAATGTACTTAGGCTCCTAACTTCCATTGATTTCCGTGAAAGTTAGAAACCTAAATACCTTTCTGGATCTGGGACTTAATTTCCACACCTCAATTTCCCCCTTTGTGAAATCGGGACAATCAAAGGAGTGCTGTGTGTGTTAATTAGTTAAACTTGGTACAGTTCTCTGAACATGTAAATAATAATGATTAGTGAGGACATTACAATTAATAATCTCCTAATAGGACCATGTCCCAGATTCTGACCTCAAATCTGTATTTGTACAGGTCCATGAGTTTGAGGTAGGAATTCAGGCTCCATGTTGTCTTTGCAACAGGTGTGGAGACTATAGTTTCCGTTGACTTCATAGTACTACCTTTCCTTACAGAGAGAATTTGCATTTGATTATATCATGGGATTAGAGATGGGAGAAATCTAGTATTAGATTATTCTACAGCCTAATAGATCTCACTACCCGGAGCTTTCCCCATTATTCAGTATTTTCCCCTTTCTTAATTTTACCCCATTATTCTTAGTTATGCCCTTTGTACCATCCTATGCAGTTCCTCTCCATGGCCTCCTCCCCACCCTCTGATCCACTCTCAGAGGGATCGTCTCCTTAGTCACCCCCATCATGGACACGCTCGCACCCCCGGGTTCCCCCGGATGCTTCACTGGTCTTGGGTCCATGCAAGAGGAGTAAGCAGAGATAGGCAAACACATCGTTCCACCCCAGCCCCGGCACTGCAGAAATTCTGAAAACAAGCTAATGCAGCAAGCTATATCTTTTCTGTAGGGCAGCCACAGCTGGGGAAGTCCCTGGTAGTGTGACTCCAAAGGGGCTGTTTTACCAGAGAAGTGGGGTGGGACTGCTGGGGTTTAGCCAGGCCTCCTGGGGATTACCGGGTTTGCAGGGGTGAGTCCCAAAGCCTATTCCATGATGGAGGAGAGATGCAAATCCACAGCACCAGCAGATGTGAGGGAATCCTCATTGAGGTTTTCTCCCACATAGCCTCCTACTACAGGTTTTTCCACAAAAAGGGATGAGATGGGCCCATTCTTGAGATTTATACCCTTCAAATACCCGGTATAGGATTACCACTTTAGCCATCCCTTAGTCTAGCAATACAGCTAACCACAATCTTATGAGCAGCCATTTAGCTACTCCTTTCTAATCCAAATTTTAAAAACAATACAGAGATGGCAGTGGTTTACCTGAAGCTCTGGGTTTTCAAATATTCTAAGATAGTCCATAAAGACCTTTGCAAAACTGGGGTCATCATTAGCTCCTTTAATTGCCTCACAAATCAATTCACCCAGTCCTTTAATTATTTTTGCTTCCCTTCTCTTTATTTCATCCAGTTTATCTAAATCTTTCTGCTGGTGGCTGTCTGGAAGAAACCTGGAACTGCATTCAGATCTCTTTAGAATTGACTCTGAAATTCAGAGGATTTATATCTATCTCTATAGGTATTTGATCAGTTTACTGAATAACCATTTGATTTATTTCCCCCCACCACTGAATTGGCTTAATACTAGATGAAGTGTGTGAAATACTGTGTGCTGTTGCTGCAAACTGACACAGTGGTACATGTAGGAAAACAGCTTGTATTAGCTGTTGCTGATATCTATCACAGTCCATGGAAG